TGCAAATTTCGGTCCGATTCATAAAAAATCCACCACTAATTTTCTGTTATACTCTGCACACGATAAATACCGACGACTTTATGATGGACGGGCTTCACAACCTTATTCATAAGATATACCATATCATATATCCCCAGATGACAGCAAGGCAAGGAAGAACTATGGAGCATCTTGATACAGAATAAAAATTGAGAACATGCCGAAGTTCAACCCAACAGATGGAATGCCTAGCGCATTACATGATCAATGAAAGCTTCCACACAAAAAACTACACTGAAACAGAATCCAATTTAAATCTCGAGTCAATAGAACCTTGTCAATCTTAATGAGCCACCAGGGAGAGAGTGGAAAGAAAATGACATTATCTAATACTTAAAAACTCTGCACAAGCAAGTGTGCTACATATTAAACCACGTAACAAGCATTCTTTGTTTACTTGCGGACTTCAGCTCTGTGGTAAAAAGTAGAAAGAAAAAGAACACCAGCTTAAAAAACTGAGCATAGTCTCCAAAGCTAAAATTAATTATAGTGTCTAAAAGTTAACTGGCAAATTGGTTTTCAGAGGGTTTGAAATGGATGTTGTATTGTGACATCCGAAGACTTTAGTAAGTTTTGTGTTGTGATGTACATTTTTTTTAGTAAGTTTATAATGCGTTGTACATTTTATGTAACATAATAAAAAGTTTGTTAATTATATTATAATCTTATGAAAAGAATTGAATTAAAATTTTGGTTTAAAAACCATGTAGTAAAATTGAGGAAATAAAGTGACTACCTTTCATTAACTCTACACTTATCATTTTGCCACCTTAAATACTACAAAGCCAAATGACATGATAAGGTAAAGTGTGGCAAAATAATGATTATGGAAAAATAACTTAATTGTTAATTTAATTCTAAATTACTACTATAAATAGGGGATAGGGTGAGAAAGGGAAATGCATACAACAAAACAAAAGTCAAGTAACTTTACAAAGGTAGCACTTTAATTGTCTTGCAACATTGAAGGTGAGTAGTCTATACCTACTTTTATTCCAAACATATTTATTTCAATTATGTTTATTGGATTACTTCTTGCTTTTCAAATCAGTTATAGATCCAAGATTCTACCCATTGATATTGACATTGGATATTCGCATTGCATTGGATAGTGATTGATATTATTATTTTTACACCAAATTGGTGTAATTGACTATTGAGCTCATGTATTGTTATTTTCATATTGCGTGCACAGGTAAGAATCAACATCTATAATTGGGGCCCATTGTTTTCCTTTCTTATTCAAATTAAAGAAAGATTATGGTATAGACTACTCGTTGAATAAATATATTCACGTTATTTTTTTATTTTTCTTGTAGATGATCACGGTCGAATACATTGATTTTACTTCTGGAGAATGGACGTTTTCAGAAGGTGGCAAATATTGCATGTTTGTCAAAGAAATCCACACGTGGATGACATATCCAGATTTTTTGGGCTTTAACCACTTTGTAGGAATCCGCTACTACATCGACTATTTTGAAGCCACCACTATGATATACTTATTTTTGGATAGTTTTCCTGGAAAAATAATGTGTCCGGTGGCCTTTGATGTATAAATTTTGATACAAATTGGTTAGTTATCGTAGTACGATATGGTGCTTAAGGCGACTTTTGCATAGTGCCACTTTTGGTAGGAGAACTTTTGTAATGCAACTTTTGTATATTTACTAGTCTCTAATATACTTTTTGTAATGTAACCAAGTATATAAGAAAATTTTTAATTATCAATTGATGCTTGCCTACGCCATACTCTATAAATTACCAAAAGTCTTCTCTCTTCACGAAGTATACAAAATTTTGAAATCTTTTTACGTAGAATTAAATGAGTAAATTGAAATTGTGACATGTATCACCAATGAACTAAAAACAAAATAGCTTTCTTAAGAAGATTAAGAGTGTGGTCTTAATCAAAATCATAACAAGCTTTCAGAATAAATTTTAATATGCAACTCACGTGAAGAAGCTCCCTAAAGATTCAACGTCTATTTTAAAAGAAATGCGCATGTGGCCTTTTACACTGAACATTTAGAAGTTGTTCACTAAGTGCAATTCACGTAGGAAACAAGAAGGAAATCTCCAAGGGTGAGAAACCGCCAATCGAGAACTTCCCGGAATGAAAAAACTTGATGCTGGTAGCAATCAGACCAAAGGCGTACTTGTTCCATGTCCAAAATACTATTGATCTCTTCAAATCAAAATCTAACAAGCCTGACAGTATAGAGAAACAATTTCAACTGTTAGGCACTTCCTAAACTGAAAAATGTGAAAGAGAAGAAACACAAGTAACCAAATTATATAACCCTCTGCAAAGCAATAAGAATGTCACATATCAGACAAAGAAGGCAGTTAGGTTAACCAATGCATCAAACACTCTTAACTGTGCTAGAAATTTCATTTTTTCAAGAGTGGTCAGTTGTAGACAACAATTTTACTTTATTCTTTAAGAAATCAATAACTGGGGCCGAACAATTATATCATTGAAATATACATATACATAGATCAAAAAGGCTCATGAAAATGCGCCCCCATTCTCCTAGCCCAGCACAATCCATCAAACTTTGAAGAATCACTGCTGCTAATCATGAAAGATGAGTAATTAAAATTTTCTAATAGTTGCATGTGCAAGAAACCTATAATTCAAAATAAAATAAATAAATGTGATTATTGAGAATTCTAAAAAAGGTAAATAAGAAAATTATTTACCTTTTTTATATATGATTAAGATCTCCAAACTCCAGTCCTCCATTATTTACACACATGTTCATGTCATAAAAACTTGACTGCACAAAACTGAGAATTTGATAGCAACCTAAATCTATATGACTAACAAAATATACTGTAAATTTCATAGATGCAAACAGCCTTTAAGATCCGATCCATTATAATGCCAAAATCTACGTACAAAACAATATGAATCCAGAATAGTGAATCCTAACTACTAAAAATATTTGCCTAACAAGAAATCAACGATTCCCCAACCCTTAACCATCCTATTGACCCCTAAATTTGATAAATATTCTACTCAATATTTCAAGAAAATATTATGCAAAAAATGTGAGACGTAAACGTAATCTGTAAGAACAGACCTAAAGCTGGAATAAACGTAAACATAATTGTTATGGGTGGAGCTCAACCAATAACAAGAAGCCATAAACTCAAGCTGCGGAATATAAATTGTAATTACTCAAGATTCAATAACTCAAGCTGTAATTATATTAATTGAACTGAAACTTACATAGAAATTACAAAGCTAACAGAAAACAAAAAAAGAAGGGGCAAAATTAGAAAAGTAAGAAGCGGTTCAGATTCAAAATAGATCCAGAGTAGAGTGAAGAGATAGACCAGTAGAGAGAAAAAGAAGAGGAAGAAACCGGGGAAGAGGAGAGAATAGGGACAAGACACAACAAGCCACGATTCGATTCAATTCAATTCGTCCTTTGTCTTCCAACAAAATCATATATATAACAACTCTAAGAGTAAAGGGCTTTGGGCTAGCCAACTCTAGTGGACCATTTATCTTATATTTTATCTAATTGGGCTGGTATTATTAGTTGGCTAGCCCAAAGCCCTTTACTCTTAGGGTTGTTCTATATATGATTTTGTTGGAAGACGATGAAGGGGACGAATTGAATTGAATCGAGTCTTGCTGCTGCTAACTCTTACCTGTTCTTCTTCTCTTCCTCTGGGTTCCTCCTCCTTTTCACTGTTTCTCTTTCTTTTTCTTCTTCTTCTGTGGTATCTTCTTCTTCTCTGTTGTTTTCTTCCTCTTCTTTCTCCTTCTTCCACTCTTCTTCCTGTCTTCTGCTGCAACCATTTTGTTATTTTCGTGTAAGCTTCAACTTAATTAATAGAATTACAGCTTGGGTTATTGATTCCCAGCTGATTATATCCAATTGTTTGTTGATTTTGGTTGAATTCTATAGAAATTGAGCTTTAACAATAACAAATGGTATCAGAGCAGCAACGTGATCTGGGTATGGCTGAAACTAGATGCAATTCAATTGAAGAACATCTGAAAATGTTAGGCACAAAAGTATCAGATTTGGTTGTAGTTGCAAAATCATGGGAGGAACAGTTGAAAGTGGTATGTACTAAGCAAGACATGATAGAACAAGCAATGGAAGAATTTAATAGAAAGCAGGAGTTGATGATCTCAATGATGACTCAATCAATCTGGGTATGGCTGAAACTAGATGCAATTCAATTGAAGAACATCTGAAAATGTTAGGCAGAAAAGTATCAGATTTGGTTGTAGTTGCAAAATCATGGGAGGAACAGTTGAAAGTGGTATGTACTAAGCAGGACATGATAGAACAAGCAATGGAAGAATTTAATAGAAAGCAGGAGTTGATGATCTCAATGATGACTAAAATGATTGAGGATCAATCAACCTCCAAAGAGGAACAAATGAATTTTGTCACCGATATATTCGAGTCTCGTGAAGCCTATTTTCTAGACCACCCAACTTGGGAGTTCAATTCGGTTCTCCCAGAGGATTTGGGCATGGAATTCAGGTTTGGACCAGTTTTAGGGTCTGAGGTGGAGGTTCCTCGCCAATTGGGCTTGGATTTGTTGGTATAGATTCGAAGTCTGATTCCAAGGAATTCGAGGTTAGTGATGATAAATTATCAAGAAATTATCTTCGTTTGATATTGATTTTGATGATTTTGGTAAAACCAAGTCTAGAGTTGTGGAACCTATGTTTAGAATGAGCTCAGTGGAGCTTTCAGAAGAGAGTAAATTAGTCCCATGGTAGTATATGGTAATTTAGTGGTTGAAATAAGTGGAATTTCACCCGATTCAAGAGATGTTGGGAGGTCCATAATGACAAAAATTGTAACTGATAAATCTTGACTCCAACCAGAGAACTTGCTTGCCAAGTGGAAAAAGAATTCTATCAGTCTACTCTAAATTTAAACACTCTATGCATTTATGGGGGCATGCCAAATTCATGTCAAATGGATCCCCTTAAGCAAGGTGTTGATGTAGTTGCTGGTACTCCTGGTCGGGTTATAGATTTGATTAAGAGGGGTTCTTTGAGTTTATTAGAGGTTCAGTTTGTGGTTCTAGATGAAGCTGATCAGATGTTTAACGTGGGATTCATGGATGATGTTGAGACAATCCAGGGATATATGTCGCAAAAGCATAAGACCATCATGATTTTAGCTACAATGTTGAATTCGATAATAAAACTTACACAAAAGTTCTTCAAAAATCCAGTTAATGTTGACCTTGCGGGAGATTTTATTCAAATTTCACTATTTGCAATTTCATCAGAAATGCGAGAGAAACCAGCTATAATTGGAACTCTTATAACTGAGCATGCAAAAGTAGGTAAATGTATTGTTTTTACCAAAACAAAGTGTAATGCTGATCAGTTGGCATCTGCTAGGCAAAGACACTTTAGTTCTGAAGCCTTACATGGTGATATCTCTCAAAAAGAAATGAAAAGAACTCTCTCTGGGGTTCGAGATGGACCATTCAATATGTTAGTAGCTACTGATGATGATTAGACTACCAAGACTTTTGTAGAGGATAACAACCCTTATGATGAAAACTTTAGCATTATGTTTTTTGATGCAAAGAATGTAGCTTCATCAATCTCTATTTCCATTTCTTTAGATTCAATCTGGTTGGAGTACACAATTGGAATTGTATGGAATTCCTGGGTTGATCGAGAAGATTGTTGCTAATAAGGCATGTGCCCATTTTGCACTACCTGCTTAATCCAAAGATGATGAAGAGAATGAGGCAACTGCTAACAACATACAAAGAAGACATCGTGACTTTGAACCTTAGGAACAAGGTTAATTTAAGTGGGAGGGATGTCATGGCTAACTTCACTCAAGTGGACCATTTATCTTCTATTTTATCTAGTTGGACTGGTATTATTAGTGGGCTAGCCCAAAGCCCTTTACTCTTAGGGTTGTTCTATAGATGATTTTGTTGGAAGACGATGAAGGTGACGAATTAAAGAATATGTGGTTTAAAATGAAAGAAAAAGTTTAAAATTATGTGTAATATTATTTTATTGAAGAATGTGCGATTGAAATAAGATAAAAAATGAATTTTAAAAATAATGGGATCGACAAACATTAAATGTGTGTATTCAATTGAGACTTTAAATGACTTTTTGGAATTTAAAAAGTTTAGAGGTATTCAATTGAGACTTTTAGTAGTCTCTAAAAGTATTGATATATTCAATTGAGACTTTTAAGAAATCTCTAAAAGTCATGGTATATTCAATTGAGATTTTTATAAACTTTTAAAAAGTCTCTAAAAGTTACAGTGTATTCAATTAAAACTTTTTAGAAATCTCTATAAATTTTGAGATATTTAAATTTTAATAACTTGTATCGACTTTTATACAAGTCTTTGGAGTACTAAATTCTAAGCAGAAAGTACTTACATAAAATCTTAAAATTTTGTCGCTCATTAATTACGAAATTTTGATAGACTTTTTTTAAAAGAAAAGTTTTTTTTTTCCAACATTTCTTCCCTTTTCCTGCCACGGACAGGTATGATTAAAATTTATTTTTTCTATTGATTATATTTATTTTCATTTATCTTTATATCTCTCTCTCTCTCTCTTCCTCTTTCTCTCTTATTTTTTATCTTTATTTTTCATGAAAAAGTAAATTGGATTCTTGTAAGTTTATTTTTTATTCTTGCACTTATTTTTTGTGAAAAATATTTTTTTATTAAATTATAAAATTTTATATGAAAAACTTATAATTAAATTTAAAAATATTTATTTTTATTTATTTTTAAAAGTATATTATATTAATAATATTGAATATTACATTTATTGATTATCATATATATGTATAATTTTGATTATTATTTTTTAGCCCCCATTTGTTTCCCATTATTTGCCCATTAAAATGAAAAATATGACTGTTATCCCTCATATTAAGCCATCATATTTGACTTTCTATTTCTTGTATGAGGTCTGTAACGGTTATATTTTTCATTTTCATTTTTACATTAACGTGTACCAAACAAAGCTTTAATTAAGATCTTAGATTTTTATTCTTTAATTTTTTTTAATTATATGGGAAGAATGCGGAGAAGGAAAAAGGAAATTGTGGGAACTAACACCTCGTATGTGAGAATTTCACATCGTTGTACTATATCTACGTAAATTCTATCTCAAATGAAAGTTTTCAAAAGTCTTTTGAATTCTATAAAAGTCCATAAAAAATTATAAATAAAAGTCTCTAAAAGTCTATGAAAGACTTCCACTAATTCATACAAATCTATAAAAGATCCACAAAATTCATAGAAATCATCAGTTAAAAAAAGTTCATCAAAGTTTTCAAAAGTCCCAATATAATACACCCTCCTAAAGCCCTATTTGAGCCACATTTTTTCAAAAAAATACATTCATAAATGATGATTTGACATCATTTCAACCACACATTTTTCAATAAAATAATATTACACGTAAATTCAAAACTTTTCCTTATTTTGTAATCATACATTTTTCATCAATACACTATTCAAAAATATATTCTTATGAAAATAATATGATTCAAATAAAGGCTAAATATATAAAAATCAGGTTTGAAAATATCTCGATTGCCATTAGGGAGATGCGGATCTTGGCTTTGTGGGCAAGAAAGGGTATTAATGAAGAAATTCGTCCACACGCCGTTATGGGGAATTTGGGAATTTTTCTTGGGGCGGGGTGGGGGGATTTTACAAATAATTTGGACAATTATCAATGTAACTAAATTTGATCCTACATTTCCAATTAATCTCTTGATAGAACTCTCAAATCTTAGTCGAACTATAATGTTGTCTTTTGACACAACATCAAGGTAATTTAGGGCATGTATGGGAGTTTCGATGTATCGGTTATGAACATTTTTTAAAGTATCGATTTTAAACTTATATGAACGAATGGATTATGAGTGGTTTTAATAGCTGTTCCAACCCATATTTGGGAGTTTATTATACATCGGTTCTTAAAGTTTTTAAAAAATAAATAAAAAATGACATTTTACTTATATGTAAGGTTTTTTATATATGTCCTTTAGTAAAATTTTTATTTTAGATTTTTGTATGAATTTTTTTTTTTTTTTTACTTATAAGTAACATTTTACTTATATGTAAGGTTATATATATATATATATATTTAACTTTATAAGTTAAATATATACTTAAAAATTTTATATTTGTATTTTTTAGTTATAAAAAACTTTATAATTATAAGTTACAACTTGTTTGAGTCCTATTATTTAGAAAAAAATGCATTCTTCTGCAGTATTTTGATATCATTTCAACTACATATTTTTCAATAAAATAATATTATACACAATTCAAAAAATTTCTTTGACCCTTCAAAAATTCATTTTTTTCCCTCCAAAATGGGCTGAAACAAGGCACTTTTAAATAATTTTTACACATAAGTGAATTTTTTATTTATATGTAACTTTTTATATTTTATAAGTATTTTTTGTCTCATGAGTGATTTTTTTACACAAATATAATTTTTTTAATCTTATAAGTAATTTTTTAATTATAATGTACATTTTTTTGCTTATAAATAATTTTTTAGTTAGTATATTTTATGTATAAGTTAGTGTTAAACAAAATGTATTGGTTCAAAATAATTATTTTATAAAGGGTAAAATTAGAAGCAAATTTAAGAAACAGTAAAAAATCGTCGATTTTACAAGTTGAGAGAATCGATAAAAATTTCACTGCACCATTTTTGGCTGACTTTTTAACCATCCAAAAACAATGCCCAAAAAACTAACAATCACGATTTTATTTTTTTTAAATTTCTCGTAAATGGTGCCATCAAAATTAGTTAAAACTGATGAAAATAAAACTCTCGAGTAGACTTTTAAAGTGGACAGAAGACTGGCTTGACGTATTGATATAAAAATCCAACAGGATTTTCATGTCAGTAAGACAAATTAACTTTTGTTAGGTAAATTTATAAATAATTTATGAAGAAAAATAGTAATTTCCAGAGAATGGGCAGATAATAATAAATAATAATTATGAACGAATAATTAAAATTAAGGTTTGATTTTGACTGTATATGTAAATCTTCTTTAGGTTTGTAAAAGAAGATGAATTAAATATAATTAATTGAAATAAATATTCTACAGGTGTTAGATATTACTTAGAAATATTCCTGTTTATTGAAAGGGACGCATGTTAAATTACTTTTTTTCCTCATTAATTCCATTTTTTCTTTAATTGGAAGGGCTAAAATGACATCGTTTACTTTGGATTCCTATTCATTTTCTCTCATCTTCGGTCTTTCTCCACTTTTCCACGGTATCGAGAGGAATTGGTGGCTAATGGTCGTCCGCCTATTTTTCATAATGGCTTTTGACCAGATTTAAGTAAAAAAAAAAAAAAAAAAAAAAAAAAAAAAAAAAAAATTAAAGAAATTCATAATATACATTTTTCCCTCATTTTGAACATTAGGAATTTGAAGAATGTTATGGTGCATTTGATTGTTAATATTTGTCATAGAAAATGTTATTTTTTACTCAAATTTCTATTTTTTGAGCTATTTGATTGATATTTTTTTCCATAGAAAGTATTTTTTTTTTTACTTTTGGTCACATGACTATATTTTCCTTAAAAACAAAAAAAAAGGATTTTTAGGAGGAGTATGTTTTTATTTTCGATGTAATTCTCTCTCTTCTGATCTCATCTACCTCCAATAAAAAATAAATAAGTATAATATTTTTCAAATTAAAAAATTAAATTAATCAAACACATTTAATTGACAATTTTCATGCAAATAAGTAAATTGTCTAGAATTTATTTTTTTTAATGTAAATTTCATACTTGAAATCAAACACACTCTTAAAAATTTGAAGAGTCAAGAAATTCTCTTCTACCAAAAATCAATTCTTCAAGATTTCTTCATCTCCATCTCCTTCTCCATTCTTCAAGTTTTCTTCATCCATCTCCATTTCCATCTTCATTTTACTTGGTCAAATTTTAAATTTTTTGCTTATAGTATGATAGATAATGTGTTTTTTTGTTGCAATATTCAAAGATTTAAACAAAATATTCTTTTTGTAGTGTTGAAAAATCCAAATCTTGTGAAGAAATCATAAGGTCAAATAATTAGTAAGTTAGACTTAAGTGATTGGAGGGTTTGGCGAGGCCATTTCAAAAACGCAGCCCATTCCTTTGTTTTTCTTCAACCTTTGACGGTGATTTCGAGTTGGGATGGAGATGGAATTGACGGATCGAAGGTGATGGAGAAGAGGCAGGAGGGAGTCAACGTTCTTGATTGAAGGGTTAGGGTTTGGTATTTAAGGACTTGAATCGATACAAAAGCATTGGTATTTCAACGCGTAGAGGATCAAATTTAGATGCAAATGAAATGTTTTCTGGAAGTTCAAGATATTTCAGATTTGATATCAGAAGGATGATGAGAGCATGTACAACCATCAATTTGGAAACCTAATGCATTGCTTGTAGTGGTAAACCAAAGAATTTGTTTATGGGCAAGTTAGTAGTCTAACTGTGT